TGAGTTTTGCAGAATAATCCTGTGGCTTCGTTGTTCCAGGTTTCTTATTTGGCACCTTCGTGTCTCTGACCAACCAAGCGTAATTTGACCGCAATAAGTAAATATGGGCATTATCATTGTTCTGTAGATTCGTTCAGCGCTTAAGGTGTCAGTGTTAGAACGGATTCGTCGTAATAAATTCACTCTTCCAGCAGCTTTCTTGTATGTTTTGTAAAAGTGCATGTCAAGATTTAATGTAAGGTCCAGATAGACACCTAGATACTTGTAAATTGTAGTCGTGTCAATACGAGATCCATTTACTGAGAGGTTTAGTTCTTTGCCATCGAAACCACTTAATCTTTTTGCTGTTCCGAAAAGCATTACTTCAGTTTTTCCTTTTTTGAGATTAATGATAAGTTCGTTATCTCGGAACCAGGAGGCGAGGCTATTAATGTCTTCGCTAAGATTGTGTTGGATAGCATCCAAATCTTTCGAGGATGTGAAAATTACTGAGTCATCTGCGTAGGTGATAATCTTAGAATAACGGAGCGATTTGTGGACGTCATTAAAATGAATTAGAAACAATAACGGCCCGAGAATACTTCCTTGGGGAGCAAGGTACTTCTTGATCATAAGTATCAATATTTTTATGGTGAAAGATTTTGAAAATTAATGTACCGTAACTTACAGGTAGTCAAACAAATTTAATGTAATCATTAATCATTAAACTGACTGAAATGATGGTGGACTAAATAGTTGTGGTTATTCACTAAGCTGAGCAGAGTAAGATAAATACCTCCATGTTTGACTTTAGTGAATGGTGGTTTTGTCACTTGTTAATCAAAAATAATTTTAAAGTGGATAGTGTACAAGTGGTCTAGATATTGCATGAAACTACTTCGCCCAGAAGTGAACAACCAAATGCTTTTACATGTACCTCCAAGCAAGCTGTACACAATTTAATTAATTTAGAATAAAAGTTAAGTGTACACTTTTAAAGAGTGCTCTCTCACAAAAAGTTCAAAATATTTCTTGACTCAAAATTTGAGCTTGATCCTCAATTATTGAGATTTGATTCTCAAGACATGAGACTTCATCCTCAAAAGTGTCGAAAATCAAGTCTCGAGAATCGAGACTCAAGTGACGGTCAACTTACTTTTGATTGGTACTGTAGCTGTTCTTTGTGGTTTGTACATATGTACTACAGCTGAAGATTGTGTGAACGAAAGGGAAATAACACTGATTAAAGTAGTTGATTCAGTATACACAGACTGAGTTATTCCATTTCATTGCTTGTTTAGGGAATGATCTGACTGGAGAATGGTATTCCAGCTCCACCAGTGATGAGTCATTCATGAACAATCTTAAACTTCAAAAAGTAGATCAAGAATCTGGGGGTGAGCGTAATGACAAAGCAGATGACGCGCCCTCTGTGAACACAGTTCTGCATCACATTTTAAGAATCACGTCTGATAAGAAACTTTCGTCTGAGCCTATGCAAGATGAAAAACCAGCCACAGACTCCAAACCTTTGACCCCCAATGGCGATGTCCTTGATGCAGAGAGCATCTGTGAACAAGTTAAAGTTGAGCTTGTTAAGTACAATGTATCCCAAGAGGTGTTTGCCAAAGCTGTGCTTGGAAAATCCCAAGGGTATCTCTCTGAAATGCTCAAACATGGCGAAAGTTTTTTCCGTCCACATGATAATACTCATTACAAGGGATGGTTGAATTTTGAGACCATGCGGCGGTTTCTTCTCAAGCCAGAAGAGGAACGGCTGATGATTTATCAGAGCAAAGGAGAGGAGCTAAAGATGGAGAGACTGAAACGACGGCAGATTGAAATTGTAAGTTGTATTTTGATTATCAGTAAAAAATGTTTAAAAGTACATGTAGGGCTTGAGGCAGGAATGACTGTGCTGATTTGGTTTTATTCCCACATTTTGTTTACTTTTTCAAAAACAGGTACATGTACATTGTAATGATCATTCCAGTTATGGCAGGATGCATAACAGAATTGGTAGGGGTGGATCTAGGAGAAGTGTGCAGGGGGTGCACACACCCACTGAGATGACCTGCTGCTTTCTAATACAGTTCCACAAAATCTGCAATATTGTTTGATATGTATTCTCAGCAGTTCACTTAATATTATTGCCTAGTCAAAAGCCTTCTTCATTGTATTCGCATTTAAAATTGGTTTACGTCACCAGTCAGTTAAGCCATTCCTTAGTGTGGTGCACCCCCTCCTAATAAAAATTGTGGATCTGCCCCTGATTCAGTTACTTTTTGGTTGGGTCCCCCTCACAACTTTCAACCCCTCTAGAGTGGTTGAAAGTTGTGAGGAGTGTCTTGTAAAGTTGCATTGTTGGTAACATTATAGTTACTTGACTTTATAACACTATGGGAAAGATATTGATCAATGTCTGTTGCTCTCTTTTGCTATACAGCTTTACATGTACCTCACTTTGTGATCACACGATCTTTCTTCCTTAAAAGCTACTGTACAGTATTTTCAATTTTAACCCCTTTTCTGCATAAAAAGAAAGTAGTGTCCGATAGCCCTGGTCTAGTGGATTTTGCTATAGGGCAACTGAATCCTGTTTTTTTAGTGAAATTTATGTGGAATTTAAATTACAGGACAACTGTAATCAGTTATCAAAATTTTTTTTAGGCTAGCTGAAATGACTTTTGGACTGGTACAATGTACAGTGCTAGCTACACTGTATAGTTTGCCTTAATGGCAAGCTGTAAAACTAACTTTCCTCGCACCTTTCTTTTATGTCTAGCACTGTGTATTTATTGTATTCATGTATATTGTTTGCTGTAGAAATATGCATTTTAGAGTTCAGTCTGGGGTGCCCTCTGTTCAATTCCTGCATTTTTTTGTCTAATGACTTACAGTACAAAAATTCATTCTGGCAAATCAAATTGTCTCCACAACCTGTTGCATGCCCCTTACCAATAAACGGAATTTTATGACAGCAGAGGTTTGTTATTTCAGTTAAGCAGCAAGCAAAAATGTATGTCAGTCCAAGCTCCAGAAGTGCAATGTGGGGCAGTTGGTTGTTGCGCAGCCTTTTTTGCGCAAGGTTTTGAGTTTGCTCCTTGGTGACATCACATCCTTGTTTCAACTTCTCACCTTTCTGTGTAGCTTTGACTTGCTTTAAACACCCTTAAAACAGATCATTGATAGAGAAGTGGGGAGGGGGGGGGGGGGGGGGAAAAAATGAGCACGCTGTCGACCTCAAGTTTACCAGTTATTACTGTCACAAATTATGGACGTAAAATAATGGTTGCTTTACCTTTTACTACTTTATATGTCTTTCTTCATTTTTTATGAATTTTGAAATAATGACACCTTTTATTCAGCAAATTCTTTCAAGTAGTGGGATATACATTCTTCTTGTGGAGAGTTTCTAGAAGATTTAATTTGTTCAAAACGTAAACACAAAAGTGACTACTGATACATTGACCTTGTACAACTCAACTACTGGTACTGTCTTGTTTGACTTCATTTTATTAATGTTTTTAAGGGTTTAACTGAAGATCCTTCAAAGAAGAAAAGACGCCTTATCCCTATGGAGGCAAAAGCTGTGATGGAAGATTATTATCACCGCAACAAATACCTTTCCACTAATAACCGTCAGTGCTTAGCTAATCAGCTGGCTATCCCAGAACAATGCATTAGCGACTACTTTAAGAATCTAAGGTCTAGGAAGAAACATGAGGAACGCATGAAGAATTTGCTGCAAGACCTTGAAAATGGCCACAAACAACTCGACCAAGTTGATTCTGACACTGCCGAGGGTAGTCTTGAAGATGAAATGGATGATCAGCTTCCATCGTGCTCTCAGAATCTTTCAGCTGTGGCGATAAGAGAAGAACCTCCACCTCAAGCCCGGCCTCCAAGTCAAATAAAACATTCTGGAAGAAGGTATAATGTTGCCCCTTTTCAAGAACCACCAGCTAAGAATGTGTCTGAGACAGATTTAGTGGCATCAAAAATTGCAGCTCTTACGCAAAGTCAAAAGTCTCCACACAAAGATCCAGGAACTCTGCAGGTGTTGGCTAGAAGAGATTCCAATGCTCATCAGCGAGTGACTGCACTTGATCATTTCCCTAGTCGCGAAGATTCCGGACGTGAAGCTTGTAACTGTTTCCCATCTCAGCCGTCTTCCTCTGGTGCTGACGCAGAAGAGAGGTTCTCGCTGGACAGCTTGTTTAATGGGTCCATGATGGAGCCTCAAGGTGGGACCCCAGAGAGAGAAACTCTGGAGGTTGGACAGCAGATTTATGTAGTGCATTTAAACAACCATGTACAAGCAAGTATCCAGAACTAAAGCTGTAATATTCTTAAGTTCAAGCTTTGTCTCTTATTAGTGAAATTATGCAAAGGGATGGCAGAGGGAAGAAGGTGGCAAACATTGTGTGACAAGCATGATAATAATTTGTTTGAAAACAATTTCTGCCTATACTAACTTCACCTTGTTTTTTAAAGATCTTTTTGTGAAAGATTAGAAGAGTTAAATTAATTGAACATCACGACAAACATGTAAGTAATATGCCAGTCACGTTTGTCGCACATAAGCATGTTGCTGTCCTCTTCTTTGTACCATCCTTTGAGCTCACTATTACGAGGTTCAAGACTGGAAAACACAAGATGCAAGTGTAAATATTTGTAAAGTAAAATAATGGTTGAAGGAAATTTACTTCAAAAGACTAATGTTATGATAAGAAAAAAAATCTGACCATACTAATGAATTTAGTCCACAGATTAGAAACTCAGGTACATCTTATATAGCACAGTGAGTACAAATGTGAATAATATTGAAAAAACGAACAAACAAACTAAAAAGAAGTACCACAAATAAACAATCTTTTATGATCAGTACTGTAAAGTTTTTAAAGTACATGTAACAACTGCTAAAAAATATACCTTAGAAAATAAAGTTAAGAAATGATGTAAACAAATAGATCCTGAAAGTAGCTAACTTCAAAAATAACAAGTTCAGTCAAACTCCCCTTTATGGACACCCACTTAATATGGACATCTCATTTATTTTGGACAGTTTGCTTTCTCCCTGGGGAAAGAAAGCTCTTACATTTTCTCTAAATTCAATTCGCTTAATATGGACCCTGTTAATACAGACACTTTGTATGGTCCCCTCGGTGTCCGTATTCACGGGCTTGATTATGCCTGCAGCTGGGGCCAGGTGTGACAAATAATATTCAAAAATTTCTTGGATTTCCTGCATCATTTGAAGCAAGTTGATAATGCTTTAAGGTTTTTCTTTTTCCATAAGAACTTTTATGCAACTTATGTACAGTTACTATGAAACAGGCCCTTTACTGGTCTGAAGCAACCAAAGGGCAATTTGCAAGTGTGGCTGAGTATTTAAGCTCGGACTGCCTGCAAAACAAACCAGTGACTGGTCAGAGCAGGACTTGTTATCGGGGACTGATGGGTTGCTGGTCCGACATACTGACCCTTGTCGGTGATGCCTTCTATGTCAGTAACAGTATCCCTAAACGGCATTTGAAAGCTTATAGTGTAGAGGGTGGAGGTGTGCTGTTAGGACTCTTAAACCTGTTATCTTTTACTGCGTCACTGGAATCCCCCTCCATAGCTAAACACTAAAGATCCTGCCAATTTGATGTTTTAATTCCTTTATAGACTGTATTAATTATTTTACTACCCCTGAATAGTTTTGTTTTTGTACCTTGTACCTTATACTAAGTCAAACCTAGCCTGTGTGGCAGGCAACAGTTTATTTTTAGGTTAGGTTTGATATAGCATGCGAGGGGAACATTTCTCCCCTCTTGGTGTGCACACTCATCCTTGAAATTTCTTCCTTCGCCCTACAAAAAGCTGTGCTATGCAGGCAAAGTCAAACTCTCTGAATTCTTGCTCAGACCAAGTTACTTGCAAACCATGCCCCTGGTAGCAGCTCATGTTTCCTTCTCCCCTCAGAATGGGAGGAAAGGAAGGCTTGAATAACTATAGTGAAATGATGCTATTGTAAGAGTACTATGATAGTGGAACATCTCTTATGTCTTGAAATGACTTGAGTAATATAACTATAACAGAGTAATTTTCAGTGTATTATAAATGTTCATTTTTATGTAAATTATTATTTTAGCAATGTAATATATCGTAATCTTGTTATAACAATAACAGTACAAATAGAAATGTGCTATTTAACCTACGAAAAAAATCAAGAAATTTAAGAAAGAGATTAAAGCATATCTAGAAGAGTATTTGAAGTGCTTTTTTATTGAGTTGATGACAATATCCTTATCATTTGCCACCTTAAAAAAGACCACTTTTTGGATGACGGCCTTAGAATTTTTCCATTGTTTTATCTTCCTGTAAACGACCACTTAAATGATCTCTATGCTCGTTGTATGTACTACACTACCAAGAGAATGCAATAACATGAAACCACACGTATCTTACTAAGAAGTTTCATGCAATGAATTCTTGTACAAAATGGAAGATGTGTACGGTCCTCTTTAGCCTGCGTGGCTGGCGTTCGAAAGGGAAGGGGAAGGGAATTAAGGCGCGAGACCACGCGCGCCCCACGCGCTCTCGCGGGCCCAAATTCCCCCCTTCCCCTTCTCATTTTAACGTCGGCCACGCAGGCTAGGTCCTAAACCACTCTCCAAACTGATCTCTATACATTTCCTTAAAGAATAATTCTTAACTAATTATTCAATTATCAAAGCATTTTCTCTTTAGTGATCATTTCCTTAATTCTCATAACCATTTCTCTTGGCAATATATGGAAACTGTTAGGAGAAAATTGATGTTGGTCACTCTTGGGCCTTAAAGGGTTAAGCGACACAAAATCTTGGCTGGGCGCTTAAACGCGCCCATTTGAAAAATGTTGATCGTGAACACTGATGCAAATGAGTGAAAAATGGTATATATAGAAAGTGTCAATCAAGAGTTCCTTTCTCTGTCCCTCCTGATTATTGTTCTCGCTCAGACACCCACAACATTTGGCTATTCATTGAAGGAGGATAGTTATTAACGTGACTAACAGTTCAGTTTATTTAAAAACTGGCTGCTTTGACTTTAAATCCCCGAATTAGAATGTGACTATTAATCTAAAACAATGTGGTTTAGTTTGTTGTTCTGGTTTTTGGTTATCGTCTTTTCTCCAAGATGTTTTTCTCCACTGGAACAAATCATTTGTTCCAGTTTTCCTGGTGGTGGCTGGCCAGGGAGTTCAATTTGGGAATATCAAGAAAAACGTCCATCTTGTGGCCAGAGGGAGGGATTGAACCAGTACCCTAAACCACTTGACCATCATGCTTTAACAAAGTGAACTCAGAAAATAAAATGTTCTCAAAGCCTCTATCATTATACCTATCCAGTTACTAGCTTTCTTTTTGGCTCACAAGTGAAACAGCTGTTTTTCCTCTTTGAGAATTTCTTTTACTCCATTTACCTCGTTTTCATTTTTGCAGATCATGGCACCAGCCCGGCGGCACATATGTATGAAACATACTATGTCACAGCACATAAACAACCTTGTAGAGCAGCCAGCTTTAGTCAAAATGGTAAGATGATAAGTAATAGGGCGGACGTCAAAAATGGCAACCGGAAGTTGATATTTTCTCTCTTTCATTGCTCTGACTCGACAAATTCGTACAGCGGGACTTTAAACAAAGGCATTCAGATTCGTTGTGTGAGACAGAAGCGTTCCATCAAGCGAGACATCGAACTTCCGGTTGCTAATCATGACGTCCGGGTCGTCAGCGTTCTCGTTGCTTAAGCTCGCTAATACAGTGGCTGAAGAGCTGAATAGCCCCGTTCATACCCTGGGTGCAAGTGGCTTTTCATGCGCGGTTTCCCGTTCCGGTCAAGTCTTAAAAAGTGACCCACGCGAAACGTTTTTTCTCGCGGCTTCGCCGCTCGTGTCTTCGGCCTTCGGCCGAACACTTGTCGGCCTGCGGCCGACGGAACGAAGCTCCCCGTCGCACGCGAGAAAAAACCTCTAGTACCCTGGGTACTCCTTTCACGGTTTTTATCAACTTTTGACATTGACTATATTTAAAATATCCGTCCCTGACGACGATGAAAGCGACAGCGTCCACCATAATGACCGTTGACTGGTTTTCTTTTTTAGGACGACTGATTTCGACCGGCTCTGTTGATGCTTCAATCAAGGTAATTTAAACTGAAACATCTTTTATGTTACCTATGTGTAACCTGTTAAAAGTGGAAAGATTTTAAAGAATCGTTTTTTCGTTTTTAACGACGTGTACTTTCCTTTTTACTGTCCATAACTCAGTTTCCTTGTCTTCAAAATAAGTAACATTGTATATGTGACTCTGTCTTTCGCCTGACCCACAACTAGCTCCTAGTGTAGGCACAGATCTCGGCTGGTTTCTATTTTTTATAGAAGACTTTTCACAATAATATTAAGTGCTTTAATATTAGATATTTTTCGTGTTGCACGCCCTAGAATACAGAGCCAAAGGTAAGTCCAATACCTGCCATTCTTCTTGAATCTGTTCACGTACTGTGAATTATTTTACCTGAACAAATCAAAAGCCACGCTCGTTTGTATTCATTCGTACGATAAACCCGTCAAATTGCTCTTTTTATGTTCGCTTGTTGTTTTCGTGCAAAATCATTTCCAGGTGATACGAAAAAACGCTCTCTATAGGTAGAATAAAACTATCACTTGATTTGTCTCTAAATCCCAAAATAATAAAAAGAAATCATATGTGTTTTTTTAGGTGTTAGATGTTGAGAGAATGGTAGCGAAGAACACAATGCCCCAGTCACAAGACCAAGGAACAGGAACAAATCTAGAGAATCATCCTGTTATACGGACGCTTTATGATCACAATGATGTAAGTCAGTTGGGCGGGGGGATTTATGTGGCGATTAGCATGGGAGATGGGAACTTAAATGTGTACAAGGCGTTGTTATGGTTCACTAAATTACATGTACGCTCTTCTAATTGCAAAATTCTCAATATACTGCGGCTGCCTACTCGAGGAAAAGATCCCTTTTGACAGTTTTCTGATACTTCTTTGAGAAACGTTGAGCATTCAGAAAGAAATAGCTTTTGGAAACAATAATTGTACGACCTTTGAAAACACCTTTCAACATGCACTTGCGACGTGGGTATAGGTTTTCTTGTTGTTGCTGCAGTTTTTGTGCCCATAATCATCTAGCACTTTTTTCCTTGTTAGTTAGTTTATGAACGGTATAATGCATTTTCTTTCTCTCAGGAAGTGACTGCTGTTGAATTTCACCCCAGTGCGCTGGTGTTGGCTTCAGGAAGTAAAGACTGTACGGTCAAACTTTTTGACATATCAAAACCTTCGGTAAAAAAAGCCTACCGCTCTATACAGGTATGAAATTATCGCGTTCGTCAGAACGCATCCTATTCTTGGTAGTCCTGTGGTACAAAGCCACAAATTTTCGAAGTGCCAGGGGCGACTGCCGATTAGCCGCGCCCTTTGATTTTATCTGGGGCATCTCGGCCGGAAAACTGGACTCCTTTCGACTCGATTTTGTCTCCGAAAGTGACGAACGCGGATCCCTAATCAATGATTACCTCTAGTACTAAGGGGGTGTTTACTTGACACCGGGGCGACTTTCACTTCGGAGTGAGTTCACTCCGGTTCCCTCTCATGGCTCTACATTTGTTAACATGATATCACCACAAAATGTCATGCCGGCGCGAGTCACTCCAGCGTGAGTTCATCCCGGTTGTTGTACCGGGGCGAGAATTTCACTCCGGTACGAAATCCCGCAACGGTATCATGTAAACGCGGAACGACCACAAGTTTCGGTGTGAAATCGGTCTGCTGGTAGACTGGAACGGGGAGCGCATGCATAATGTTTGCGATTTTGAATCTTACGTGTATTTTATCAACATGAAGTGTACCTTCAAGTAGCGAGATATGAAATGACCCAGTCATAATGTAAATACGATACGAAATAAAAAAGTCATCTCGGTATGAAACTCGCGCCGGAGCGAGTTTTCTCACGTAAACACCCCCTAACTCTATTTTGTGACTATAAAAAAAATACTTATTTCAACGGTAGGGCTTGAACTTCTTTTTTTACTCCACTAGAGACAGGATTTTTTAGTAAAACAGTTAATCGACTGGCTATTTTTTTGCTAGTTGAGGTCTTGGGCCTCTCGAAAAGGTCTGCCATATCTTTAGGCAAAAACCTGAAACGGCAGCTCACAAAAGGCTGTATAGACTGTCTCAAAACCCGTTTCCGGTTTCTGCTGGTTAGGTGGTCAGTCGGGAAACGGACGACTCGTGACCTAGGTAACTCGCTTTCGCTCGCTTTGCGAGCGTCCTTCGCGCCTTTGGCGCTCACGCAGTCGACTTGTGGCAAGTCTAATAAGGGTATTGGTCGCTGGCTGCCATGAGTCCTTTTTTCTTTTTCTTGTAATGTACTTTTGCATGCGTAGCTTCTTTCCTTCAGAATTCTGCAAAACCGTTTACCTTTCTTTATGGAAAGAAATCCATTGTTGTTGGTGGTTTCAAATTTCTTGGAGAGAAATGCTTAGTAACAAACGTTTGCTTAAGGAATCCTTGAAACTTCCAAAAACCACTCGCTTTTTGTCGATTATTAATTTGCGACAGTTAATTTCAGTCGTGAAACTCAAAAACTAATACTCGACCACAGCTGGATTCTCGAAAATTTCAGTTGTCGATAAACTAGTGTTCAGTCAGGAAAAAAAAAACAAAAAAAAAAAAAAAAAAAAGTGATCAGACAGGAACCAAAAGAAACATCCCAAAAAAAAGTTGGTGTTTGTTTGCGAGGTAGTTTTCACTAAAAAAATTAATATTGAGTTATTTATATATGTTCTTTATAACATTAGCTTTCACAGTAGATTTTTTTTATGATTTGGTGTATTTTGTTAAGGAATCCTTGAAATTTCCAAAAACCCTTTGTTTTTTTTTGATTTTTAATTTTCGAAAATTAATTTCAGGTGGGAAACTAAAAAACTAAAACCCGACCAAAACTGGATTTTCAAAAATTTTAGTTTTCGAAAAACTAGTTTTTAGTAAGGAAAAAAAAAAAAAAAAAAAAAAAAAAAAAAAAAGTGTTCAGTCAGGAACCAATAGTTACATCTCATTGTAAAGTTGGCACTTGTTTGTCAGGTACTCTCCACCCGAAAAGTTACTTTTCAGGGGAGAAACGACCACCGGAAGTACATCAGCCTTAGCAGGCTAGTCTCTTTGAGACTGCGAGATTGACTTAAACAAATAAATTTATTGTGAGCTTTTTTAATCTTTTCAGGAAGCAGAGGTCGTCACGTCAATGTCTTTTCATCCCACAGGGGACTTCATCCTTGTTGGCACAGAGCACCCAACAAGTGAGTTTGTTTACATCAATAGCCCCAAAAGCCACAACCATCTTATAAAAATTTAAAAAATACTACAGTTTTGCATTAACCCAGGCAGTTACTGCTCCCCCGCCTTCTACAGCATTGTGATCAGTATTACAGACGAGCAGTAAACCGATCTCAGTAACGCGCTTAGCGTATATAACGACTTATGGAATTCGTGGCCAATGGTATGTCAATATCTTGGTCTTAAATTTGGTGGATAATTTTCTCCTTTCTCTTTTATTTTAGTTCGACTTTATGACACCATCACTGGTCAATGTTTCGTCTCGTCAAACCCTCGGGAATACCACACGGGAACTATTAATATGGTGAGTGGAGTGACTGCGGAGATATTGTTAGCCTGCATAAAAGTCTCTTTGAAGGAAGTGGGAAAGTAACTGGTGGGAGTAGGGGGTAGGGGAGCAATAGTGGCGCAGTGGTGATAGCACTCTCCCCCCACCAGTGTGGTCTGGGTTTAAGTCCCAGTGTCGACGCCGGGTGGGGTCTGCGTTTTTGTTGGTCTCCTCCTTGCTGAGCGAGGTTTTCTCCCGGTGCTCCTGGTTTTCCCCTCAGTCTCTTCAAAAGCAGTACTTCTAAACCTCAGTTAGTTCTGGAACACGTAAACACTTGAAAACGGGTGTTAGAGTGCCAATTTTCCAAACGTCTAAGTCTAGTGCGCCCGATCGACCCTAACCACGTCAGCCTAGGATATGATGTGTATCGAATGTATTGAAACCCCTGAACTGAAATGTCATGCAGGCTGACACACAAAGGGACTTGTAATTTATAGTTTCGTAACAGCCAAACAAAAGTAGTTGTATTGGCCAATCACAGCGCACAACAATCTTGCTCATGAACCAGTTAGAACGTGAAAAGAAAGGCGTGTTGCTGGAGTCAAGAGCGGGAGAATTGCGCGGTAAAACACACTTGAGTTGGGTTTTACAACTGATTGGCTGAGAATATGGCGCGAAGTTTGACAATCAGTCGTACTGATATCACAGTAGAAAAAAAAAAACAGCTTTCGCACAACATTCAGCCTTCTATCGAGTGAATAGAGAGGAGAAGTTACCATGGTAGCCAAATTTCTGGAAGACTACAATAGGGCCGAGACTAAGCAACGACGATGGCGACAGTAACGAGAACGGCAAAAAAAACCCGATAGGTTTAGATGAGAAAACAACAACAATGTACATGCATCACACTTTTTTTGTACATTTCTTAGACGTCGTTGAACGACTGCGACATGAAACGTCCTAATTTCACGCGCCGCTTTACGGAGCAGGTGAACAGAATACAAAAAATTTCTTTTTCTTTTTCTAAACTCACATACGGTCCTTTCGGATTAAATCCAGAAAATTTCGCCAACATTTGATCACAAATTAAATGAAATTGAACAAGATCGATAAAGTTTGAAACAGTGCGAATTTACTTATAAGTGAATTTTCGATTTGTTGTCATCCCAAAAGTTTGCTACCATGGCAACGTGACGTAACGTCCACTCTCTATTTTCTGGTCCAGTAAGGAATTACTTCCTTCTCTGCATGTAATGCGGATTTTTTTTGATTTTGTTTGCCTAGTAACGTTTACCGCATGAATAACTTTTTATTTGTTTACTATGTCGTGTTTAGGTGAAATATTCGCCGTCAGCTAATCTGTACGCATCTTGCAGCAAAGATGGTTCTATAAAGGTAAGTAACAGTGTGATGTAGTTAACAGTTATTGGGTGAGGCTGAGTATGATATGAAGAAAATTATGGATAACACCTGCAAGATCTGCGTAATTCCTGATATCATTCGAAAGCTGAAGTCAGTTTTTGTTTTATCATTCATTGAAATTATTTCAAAGCTCAAAGCATGCTTATCATAATGTTACGTTTCCGTCACCAAAACATTTACCTATTCCTCGGCAGTTTCAGGATGGTAAGGAATGTTTATTCCCCAGGAGGTACTCCCTGTAATGGCCTATACGGGGTACCCTGGGTGCCAGAAACTTTTCATGCGCGGTTTCCGGTTTCGGTCAAGTTTCTCTTCGCCGCTCGTGTCTTCGGCCTTCGGCCGAACACGTGTTGGCCTACGGCCGACGGAGCTACTTGTCGCACGCGAGAAAAAACCTCTGGTACCTAGGGTAATACGGGGAGGCTCCGCCCGAAAAGGCTACCTGTTTCAGGCTTTAGGCATATGAAAGGGTACCGATGTCACTTGTTGAATGTATGTCATTTCGGTCGGCAGAAAGGCCCCAACAAAGGGCTAACAGATGCATTTAATGGATGTGAAAAAGTCGAGAAGACGTTCTGGTTTTGTCATTTATTCATACTTTAAAGATAGTGCATTTACAGCAGTTAAAAGGGGTGCTACCTAGTTCTAAACTAGGTATGTGAAAAGGGAGTACCATTTGCTCATAGAAGGTATACGAAAGGGGTACCTTCTCTGCCAAATTGGTATATTAAAGGGTAAAAGGGTTGGAACCTCCCCGCATAAATATCTGCTAAGCGTCCCCCAGGGGTCTCGGAAACGTTCTTCATATAGCAGTTGTCATTCGTCGAGCGGTATTTTTGTTTATCCCCGTTATGTTTTTTAGGCAGTAGTTCGGCTATTTCGTCTTCGCCTAGGGGGTGAAATCTTCCGTCATTTTCTCCTTCTCTGCACTGTCATCACACCTGAGCCAATGGCGCGGCCTCTGCGTGACGTCTGTGCGTCTCGTTTTTATTAGATAACATCAAAATCGACGTCAGAACTTCGCAGTCAGTAAAGAGATTTGGATTCACATTTACAACAAACGTGAACTTGTACCACGTGACCAAGTTGCCTCCATTTCTTGTCGTGTTCTGTTCATTACTTCTACACAAAAAGTAGTAGTTTCATGCTAGTTTTATCCATAATATATTTTCTCAACTTGAACGTGACGTTTGCCGTTTGCCGTAAACGCAATTCTAAATTTCTCTTATATCCAAGTGACGAACCTGAGACAAACGATAAACGAACCTGTCATCTCTAGGTCTGTTTATAAAACGCGGCCACGCCTCGTTTTTCCTTTTTTCATTAACACTTTATGGTGGTTTTTTGGATAGCGGTCAAACACTCGTTCTCGTGTTTGAACTGAAACGCGTTGTGTAAGATAGTCTGCCGTTACAGTAATTACACCTTAAGATTGTTGTATCTCTCCTCTTTCTTTAGATTTGGGACGGAGTCAGTAACAAATGTGTACAAACATTTCCACAAGCTCATAATGGAGCGGAGGTAGGTTTTAGAGAAGCTTACAGGTAGTTTTTGCATGGCATGTACTAAAACACGGAACACAGGGACACGCCGGGACATCCCCGGAACTTCCCGGAAAACCTAACAAAAGGTAAAATGAAAGTGAAAACGACTAACAGAAAACCTAACCCTAACCCTGTTTGTTTGATTTTTCTTGTGTGTTTTCCGGAGTGTTTCGAATGTTCCGTGTTCCTGGTTTTAGTCCGTGCGATTTTTTCGTAGGGATACTCTTCCAAACGAATAAAAAATAGTCTGACCTCAGAGACTTGTCGTTCCCGCTAGTCGCGTTTCTTAGAGAGTCCAGTTCGCGAAACTATGCTCTACTTTTCTGTCGGCGTTTGCGTGAACCGAAAAGAAAGGTCTGCTTGGAAATTTTTGCTGTTATTGTAATTTCATTCGCCCTCATTCGCCATCCTGGAAACGAGAAGGAGACTGGAGCCGAAATGCGTCCCGCAATTGGTTCTGGGATCGTTACTGGGACGCGCCAGTCAGCTATTGGCCAATTTTTGTTCCCTGTCCTTGGTAACAGTCCCAGAGGTCTTTGCGAATGTTAACTCGGCCCTAGTTTCCTTCATGTTTTGAAAGCGGCGAAATAGCGAAGAAGCCACGCAGGAAATAATGTGTTCTCTCTTGGTTCCCCTTCTCTGCGTAGTAGTTATTAGTATGTATAATCAAATGGTGACGAGCAAGGTTATTCCCTAATTTCACGAGTATACCATTTGATTACCTATTAATATGATGGGTGACGAATTACGTTTGCAATCTTGGATTTTTGACATGTTTATCCTGGTTTTATCGACGATATCGATTAAGAATTCCTCTCTCCCAAAAGTTTAGAGCTTAAATTTGGCTTAAGTTCGACAATATACCTGTTAGAATTTTTCTTGATGTGTTCTTTCGTGTGTTTAGGTTTTCTAAAGCGTCTTTCCACGTCTTTTGATGCCCTGACATCCTCATTCATAACCTTTAAACTTCATCGCCATCTCGGCACTGAGACTTTCGGAAGGTTACCATAACAATTTTGTAATTTCAAAGTGAAATTATAAATTAGTATAGGTAATAGCATGATTTGTAGTGGTATTTACGCCAAATAACACCTACAAATCATGCTATTATTTGTTTATATTACTACCCACAAAAGGTTTGTAATTTTCACTTGCAGGTATTTCAAATTAAGCAGAAATACCACTGCTCTAAGCCAATCAATCTCATGTAGTAGTATAAGAGTATCGATTGTTATTTGCAGGTGTATTCCGTTTGCTTCTCACAGAACTCAAAGGTATGTCATTAAGGAGCTCATACTGAGTAAGGGGAATTTTGAATGAGTCTTCGGGATGGAATAATTTGATGAATAAGCTTGTGGTACTGGGACGATAATCTAATTTTCAAACTGAGAACTATTGTGGTATGCTTCAGTTTTATATTTTGTTCTGTTTTAAGGGCCTCTTCACATGAGCCCGGTTTCCGAGATCTAGGTTTTTCCAACCCGGATCACGGTACTACTGAGATCCCGGTTGGAAAAACGCTTGAAGTGGGCTGAAAATTTTCCCACATAAACACGTCATCCCGGTTACCGGGATGAAAGCTGTATGAATTCTAACGGCCCGGATGGCATCGTCTTGCATTCCCTGCTGAATTTTCCATATCATGAGCATCCCATTTAACTGCAGTGATACAGCTTTAAGAGTTGTCGATACTATGATGGGCGCGAAAGTTATCATTTTTGTGTTTCGCCATGTTTGCTTTGTTTCTCGAATTTCGCGCCAGAACTCGTCCCCAGGATCTTTGTTTTTTTTTTCTTTTCGGAAACCGGGCTGAAATTTCTCACATGAATCCAAGGCGAAACTTGTCCCGATAACTGGGCCAGCTCGGTCAACCGGGCTCATGTGAAGAGGCCCTAAGTTTAAGTGGACTTAAAGCCTTCAGAACAGCTTTGTTTTCCCAGCCTATAATTTCGGTGCCTATTAGGGTTTATCTAAACTGCTAAATCCTCAATGTCATAAGAACGATCATCATCACCATTAGTTATTACTCTCACAGTTAGGTTTTTATCCTGTAAACAATTATGGTTTAAACTAACAGTTTTTGTAAATAGTGGTGATACTTGTAACCACGGGGTCGATTTAATAAAACTTTTTCAGGTGTAATTTACAAGTGCAGCTATTGTTTGCGGACCCAAAAACAATAGCTACACTTGCAAATTGCACTTGTAAAAGTCTTATTAATTTGACCCCTGTTTTGATGTCCATAATTAGCTGTAATTCTAAATCCTGTTGACACATATATAGTAAAGTTATTATTATTTATTACCGGTTCTTTATCTTACCTCTGTTGTTTTCTGCAGTATATCGTATCCAGTGGGAAGGATTCTCTGGTATTCTTGTGGGAACTTGCGACAGGTATTACTTTGAACCAGAAACCCCTTATGGGTTTCTGGTCAAATCTCGTACTCGTTGTCGTACTCTTTTTACAAGCTAAAGGTCTCTATTATGAAAAGCGACCAGTAAGACAAAGCTTGGTCTCGTGGTACAAGCAAACTGACGTTTGCCGTAAACGGGATTCTCTCTAATGACGTCTTTTCTTTTGGCCACATTGCCAGGCGCAAAGACACATACGTGTAGTCTTATGAAGCAATATCTGCTCTGCTAATTACAAGTGGCACTTTTCAAAGTTGTTCGTTTGTTTCTTACAGGAAGAGCGCTCAGCATGTACACGGGGGCCTCGATGTCGAATTTCAAGTCGCAGATTGTCTTCAACCACACAGAGGATTTCAGTGAGTCAATGATTTGAAGAAGGGATAGTTTACTTGTGTATAAGGGCAACTGTTTTGGGAGACTCGTAAAGAAATGAAGTTATCTCTTACAAATTTCATGGAAATTCTTCCGGAACGTCTATCTATATTTCATGAAAACTCTCGTAAGAGACTGGATCAGAATTGATGCCAAACAAATGGCTTCAACAACAGGAAAGACGGAGAGTTCTGAGACAGAATGGCTTCATGGACAGTAAAGAGCAAAAAATAACCAATCATGGCAATGTGAAATCCACTCACGTGACATTAGTTTCTTACCCTGCGAGAAGAGGACCTTCGACTTTTCCAGGAAGATCGAAGGGCCTCTGCTCGCAAGGTATTAGTTTCTATAATCCTTGATGGCTTTGATTATCTTCGTGCTCAAGTCTAGAGGTTGCCACTGACTCGGGCTTTGCGTTGGAAAGCTTTTTTTTTTAAAGAAAAACGAAGTAACGCACTATAGAACTGAGTGCACTGTGTCTGTGACAAATTAGTTAAGTGTTGAAGTAAGTCGTTTTGCCATTGAAAATCTTTTTGCTTGTTTTGGATAGTGATCGTTGCGGATGAATCGAACAACAGTATAGCTTGCTGGGACACAAGAACTACGGAGAAGCAGAAAACACTTACTTCAGGTAAATTGTCGCCCTCGTTTCCACGTAAGGTTTAATATGTAGAATAAACTACGGTAGCAACTTTTTGCTTATGGTAACCGTTGGTAGAAATTAGTTGCAAGAACAAACTAAACGAGTAGGAAATTTTTGAAAATGTTTTCGTTTGATCATCCAGGTCGATAGGCTACTTAGCGGCGGCGGAGCGAAATAAAAAGTTGGGGGGGGGGGGGGGGAAGATTTCTTCTGCAAGAAAGTCAGTTTTCTAATCCGGATTTTTCTTGCTTCTTTTTATAAACTTTCAGGTCACAACGGACACATTCGTTGTATCACCCACTCCCCGACGGGTGCTGCTTTTGTCTCTTGCAGCGACGACTTCAGAGCGAGGTTTTGGTATTGCGAAGGAGTATAGAACTACTACCACTAAAACGGAGTATAAGTGGAAAAAAGAGTGCAAAAAAAGCAAAAGAAAAAAGAAAAAAAAAAAAAAAAAAAAAAAAAAAAAAAAAGAAAAAATTCCTACCGCTGTGTTTGCTCTCTTATTTTTCCCCTTGTCACGCCGCCGGCGCCTATTGCGTGTTTTCCCGCCCCCCCGGGGGGGGGATGGTTTGTGCCGTGGCCACGAAAAGTATAAGAGGGGGTTTGGGTGGGAAGCTGAGAAAAAAAATCACAGACCAAAAAAGGGAAAAAAAATGAAAAAAAAGGGAAAAAAAAAAAAAAAAAAAAAAAAAAAAAAAAAAAAAAAAAAAAAAAGAAGCGAGGAAGAATGCGCAGCCAATGCGGCCCTGGTAACATGCCACAGACATTGTTCAAGGGACCGATCCTGGAGATTTTGTTCAGGACTCAGGATCACTGATTCGTCCTCAACCGGAGCGTTCTTTTAACACGTTTAACTTCAGATCTGTGGATACTGTTCATTGGATCATTTGGCTTAGTGTAGTAAATTTTCAAAATGTCGAAAATAGACTGAACTACGCCTAAGCAACTCTCATGAGCTCATTGTCTTCCTCTGAATTGTATCTCAGTCTCAAGGTGTCACCAGTAGAGACTTTGAGCATTCATCCAAACTCACTATCGATATGCTTTTCAGGATCTTTTTGGATGGAAGACCCCAGATAGGTGAAGTAACATGCGGCGAGTCATCCCATTTATCATGTAAACGTGATCAAATTAAAATGAGAGATTATATGGACAGGCGGGTTACCCCACCTAAGCGGGTCACCTCACCTACCTGGAGTCCCCTACATCCATGTAAACTGGCCCTTAGTCAGTTCATTTTTCTTTGTTATTTAAAACCTTACAAGGAATTACAGTTGTTATCGTTATTATTGCTAGGAGAACACAGATGTCATCTCACATTGACACTGGAAGTTAACGTCTTAGGTACTGGCGGGAAAGTTGAGACCGCGGGGCGTCATGGGATTTCCTTTTCATCTTTCCGAGCTTCTTTGCGTCCGAATTTATGCAAATTTAGAAAGTTAGTGCACATTCCCCCCGGGCATTTGTCACCTTGTCGGTCCCAGTGGTGGGGATTGGTCAGAACCTTTGCCCGGGGAAATTCTTCTAGAAGCGGACAACGTCGTTCCTTTTTCAATTTTTCACTGAAAAATATGCTTATTTAGATAGCGTTAGATATTTCTGTAAAGAATATTTTTAATACCTATGCTTTAGAAAGATATGCGTGGTTTTCCCTCAATCACTTCTCTACCCCACAGTAGTTTTTGTATCCGTCGAAGAAATTGCTTCCCGCCATCGTGATCAGTTCACACATCGAGGAAAAACAATCCAGGTATCGTTTGAAGAGTTTAAAGAAAGAGAAACTTTCTTTGTGCGCGAATGGTTGAGGCAGGAAGGCTTAGAAAACTCTGCGAGATATTCGTGTATTGTGCGATAAAACGGTTCCTTCGTGATGAGAAAATACTCATGTTAAGCTCGTCGGTTGTTGTTTATCATTCACGATATAAAACCCTTTGGAAAATAAGAAAGTTTAATTATAGTTGACATTGATATGTGGTCTTTTTCTAATAATTATAACTAGCGGCCCGGAGCGATTTTCGGAGGGTGCTTCACGCGTTATGATCAGATATTACAGATTTCCTATAAATAATGGTATTTGCAGCTTGCTTATTGGAAAATACAATTTTGGTGTTGTCCCGGGGTGGGGCATTTGCACCCTATTTTTAAGCCCCTCTGTGGGGCATTTGCAGCTTTTCCAACACAAAATGACAGATGCCCGGGGGAATGGGCACGCTTTTAATTTACTGAGCCATAAAAGTGTCAAATACCCTGGCTTTCCTAAATTTGGAAAATTTGTTGCTTGCGCGAAAAGCTGGGGATTTTATTGTGCGAAGGAGGGACGCTGAGAGTTACTGGTAGGAGGGTCCCCTGAAACGGCCCGAGCTTGCCTTTACAAAGCGTTGTTGAGTAGTCCCTAAGCCTAAGGCTTCCCATGGCAGCCAGCCAACTGCCGTCTCCCGTTTCCGGATAGCCTGTTCAGGCGCTCCGATAGTGGGGAGCAGTGCGAAGTAAAAAGGAGTGCATGCGAAACTTTTCATCGCTTTCTTTACTTCGCACCGCTCCCCACTATCTGAACGCCTAGAACAGGCTACTTTCCGGTTAAATTGTACGAGATGTCTTTTTTTATTGGGAGAAGTCATTCCAAACAAAATCACAACCGAAATCACCGTTCAAATATTTCTGCCAATACCAAAAGTTTACTGCCATCTTTTTCAAATGTACTGGATTGTTTTAATGTAATTGTCCTCTCACCGTGGTGGACCGATCAAGTTGTATATCCACTAAACTTTTCTAAAATCCAAACGGATCGAAAGCCACCAATAGAAACCTACATAGTGAACTTTGACCTAAAATTGGAATGTATCCAATTTTGTAAACGACCAATCAGAAAGCCAGAATTTCGATCCTTACGAAATTTGATATATCGCCTTGAAAGCTATTTATATGGAGGGATAAATTTTCGTAGTACAAAATTGCAGTCTTTACTTGTGCGTGGCTATATTTCTTTGAAGGGAAGACTTCCTATCGTACATTGAATTGAAAGCCATGGCTCGAAGTGTTGGTCGCAGGAAGCCAGTGAAGAAAAGCGCCGCGAAGGTCAGCAAGACTAGCGTTAAGAAACGACGAGCAAAGAGAAATCATAACAGTTTTGCTTATTTCATCAACAAAGTTCTGAAGCAAGTTCACCCCGACACTGGTATCAGTAAAAGAGGCATGAGCATCATGAATTCGTTCGTCAACGACCTCCTCGACCGGGTTGCCTGCGAAGCCTCTCGCCTGACCAAGTATGGCAAGAACAGGACCATGAGCTCGCGTGAGATTCAGACCGCGGTCCGGCTGCTTTTACCGGGTGAATTGGCCAAACACTCCATCAGTGAAGGAACCAAGGCTGTGACCAAGTACACCAGTAATAAAAAGTGAAGCGATCTTCCCGGCGAACTTGCAAAACAACGGCTCTTTTAGGAGCCACCACATCTGTCAAAAGTCAGTGGCCAACCTCAAAATGCGTTTAGACTTACAGATTCGGTTTGATTCGGACCGGCGGGGATTCAGAGAACGATCGTAAGACATCGTGAAGGAAAGATAAAATACCCAACGCATTTATAGGAAGTTTTATTTTGGCACCCAGCTAAGTTATTAGGGTAGGGTTTATATAAGCGTAAGGTTTATACAGTACCTGTTTAGTTCAGCCAGCACGTGTTGTTGGTGTATCGTGGGAGGGGTATCGTTCTTTATCACTTTTATGACCGTCAAATTGCCAGAAAACATATTTGGTCTCCCGTTTAAAAATTTGCCAAATTCTCAAGATAAAAAAAGTTAAACTTTCGCTTTGAAAACAGACATGCAGCCCGCAGCCCGCTATAATTCTTATGAGATTTTAGAAGGGCTGATTAAATTACGGGGGTGGGGGCTTATATTTGGCGGGTGAATACGGCTAAAACCCAGATGTCTCTATAACTGGACGGGGGGGGGCTTATAGGCGAAAGTTTACAGTAGCTAACATCTTTGCTCACGTGGTCTCACCTAGCCGTCGAGATTCAGTTAGAAAAAGTGGGCTATTCGATTCATCCCATGGCGCGATATTATCGCTCGCAGTCGAGTTTTCCATTTTCCAAACACACTTGAGATACCTGGGAACGCGGTAGGACGTACTGTAAAATTCCGAAAATAAGCCCTTCCATGTATAAGCCCCTCAAAATATAAACCCCTCAAACTCGTAACGCAAAAACCCTTCGGTAAATCGCCCCTCCAAATTTAAGTCCCCTTTTCCCCGGGGGCTTGTACTTGGAAATTGCCCCCAAATACAAATTAAAACAAAGAATCGAAAAACGGTAAATTTCCTTCCAAGAATAAGACTAGCCCAATCTATTTTGAAACGCAAATTTCCCTCCGTACATAAGCCCCTTCGAATATAAGCGCCTCCAAAAATAAGCCCCTCAAAAAGGGCCTTTGAAATTATAAGCCCCGGGGCTTAATTTCGGAATTTTACGGTATTTTCGGTCGCCACTTCCTTGTAAACTAAGAATTCTTCCCCCTTCCCTCCCTCCCCCCCCCACCCCCCAAAAATATAGAAAATAAACGTAGTGTTATTTCTCATGCAATCACGATTGAATAATGTACTTTCGGGAAGTTTTCCCGCGCCTGCCATCAAGTGAAAGATTGGCCTATTATGTCTCTGATGCAGTAAGAAATTTTGCACAGTCGTGACCACACACATCGCCGTCACCTTCCGACTCCCCCTCTCTACCATGCTGCGTCCTGGAATTTCCTTAGATGTGTCCGTTTATTACCATCTGATATAAATAGCAATAACTACTTTAGTTTCGTTTTAGAT